TTCCCCTCTCCTCCTCCCTTCCTCCCACAGCTGCCCACGAGGCCACAAAAATAACCGGGCAAGAGGTGTGAAAATATGACCTGGAGCCAGGAACGTCCCATGTCTCAAGTTCCAGCCCTGTGGCTTCCACCCTTCCTGGTGCCTTAGGAACCCAGGCCCCACTTCTGGCGCCTGGGAGAGATTAGAGGGGAGAAGGGGAGGAGGCTAGGATGAGGTGGGGAAGAAGGTGGAGGTGATTCTGAAAGGAAAGAGTTGCTGGATGAATCAATTATGTGAATTAAACAGTTGGTGGGGAGTATTATCTCTATTAAAACAGCAACTTTATTTAATGAGAATTTAGCTACTAAACGTAACAAATTCCCCGCCAGCTACCAGCTAATTAAAACAGCCACATTCGTTAGGAATGTCACCCATTTATTGTGGGGAGAGCTGACATTTCAGGGTGAGAACTGGGACACTCCAGACTACAATGACTATTTGTCCTCACAATGGTATTTGGGGGCAACCTTTCTGGTCTGAGGGGTGTCTAACCTGCATTCTCAAACCTCACTGTAAGGAAGCAGCTACAGGAAAGCTGCTTTTGCTATATGGAGAGTTTGCTATTGGAAATACCGAGTCTTCCTTTTTTTGGTCCCAACGAGAGGAATCTGGTGGTCCTTAGGTAGGGAGGTATGCACACCATAGAGTTTAAGAAAGAAGTTTAAGTTCCCCTGCAGAGGGAGCAATTTCCAGCAGTTTTAGCAGGAATTTAAAAGGTAGGGAAGGAAAGAGGGGGACTGGAGAGAAAGGGAGGGTGGGAAACAACCAACAGCAAACAAAACAACAGAGAAAAAGGAAAATTAAAGCAAGTCACTACATCTCGGGTCTTTTAAAGATTCAGACCAATTTGAACTCTGAGAAACCAGATAATGAGTCCCCAGGAAGAGCCTGAGCCGGTCCCAGGGCGACTTCTGCAGCCCGTTCCGTCTTCCCTGGCTCGTCTCCCCGATGCCCAGCGAGGCCAGCAGCCCAGGCCCCTTCCCCAGGGACACGCTTAGGGCCTCAGGGTGGCCAGCACCCACAGTTTCTGCAGAATAAGACTGAGGTTCTCTTGACTAATGAAGGAATTTTGCCCAGAAACAAAGATAAAGGAGCAACCTCCCCCCAAATCCCATAAAAACGTCTTATGCGAGGGCCCGTCAAGCACGGAGGGGATGACGCCCAGCGGGGCCCAGGCGCTCGCTGTGATCCTCTAGCATCCCTCCCCCCTCCGCACTGGACCTCGGTTTCAGAGGCGCACGGTCGGCGCAGCACGAGCTGACCAATACGTCTCACCCGCAGAAAAAGCAGCGCCAAGCAACACAGCAGCAACCACCGCCCGGAGCCGCGCGCGGAGTGCGGCCAGCGCGGGCGAGCAAGGCCCTTCCGAAGCGCGGGCAACAGGTGCTCCGGG